ATGGTTGGGCCATGTGTTACGTATGCCTGAACACCGATTACCACGACGCGCTATGATGACTAGTGTAGGGGATTGTTGGAAGAGAGTTAAGGGCGGCCAAACCAAAACATGGCATCAGTGTTTAAAGTCACTAACTTCTAGTCTGAGCCATGTTGACAGATGCAGACTACCTGGTTGGGGTCCGCGTGACTATCGTAACCAATGGTTGGAGACTCTAGGTGACATGGCTCAGAATCGATCACAATGGCGTAGGTGTATACACTCTTTATCTTCCCTTAAACCTTGAGATAAAAATTGCTTCATATCTCTCTTCCTTCCTATACTATATCCTTATATACAACCCCCCCCCAACAGCCCCCAAATGCCCTGGTACGGCCGAGAGTGGGGAGAGTCTACTCTCTCTCTCTCTCGAAATGCTCTCACATGGCCAGCGAATATATAGCCTCTGCCAGGGAAGTCCTACTCACTGCCTTCTCGTGGCGGGGGTGTTGTTTACGAAAGTGAGAGGACGAAAAGCGAATGTTCGGCGCTATAACCGGATTGGTGGACACGGAGGGTCCACCTAGGGGAGTTGGAAAACCCTGATTCCAAACCAATGGTGCACATGGGCTCCAGTATCCTGATGGAACGAATGGCGGAAGAACCTGCTGTTGGTCAACGGCAACCATGGGACTGCATCTCCTCACGATGCTCCACTGCCTTGTGGATCAGACCTTTAGGTCAAAGGCTCGGGGTGTGGTCCCCTAAGAAAACCACCTGCTTCGGTTTGGGCACCCGGGCAGTATCACAGCCCACACACAAACAAATGAATGAAATTATGAACTTTATTGACGATATCCCTGGTCATACTAAAAGCAAAACAATTAACATTATTATTATTATTACCTTTATTATTATTATTATTATTATTATTATTATTATTATTATTATTATTATTATTATTATTATTATTATTATTATTACTTACCATATCGCTAATTCACCCCCTTTTATCCCCAATTTGTGTAACCTTACTCTTCAACTTATGCAGCAGCTCGCTCTTGGTGGAAAATCTGTCCTATCTAAACGATCTCCAGTCACTGTCTGGTTGAAAGTGAATGCTTCCACCGATTATGAATACTGAGGCAGTCTTTCTGAAACCACGTACGCCGTTCAAGCTGGCTTCCTTCAACGTTCGCACACTAATGCAGATCAGACAACAGATAGGGCTGGCTATGTCTTTGGAAGGTCTTAATGTTGACGTTTGTTGTCTATCCGAGACCCGTATTCAAGACTCTAGTGAAGTACTACAAATCCGCTCTCCATCTGTCGCCTCGAAAAGCTTGTTCCACGTGCGCTTATCCGGGGACCCTGTGGCATCTTCGTCTGGTCTTGCTGGCGTTGGTGTCGCACTAAGCGCTAGAGCTGAGGCAGCACTAATCGATTGGATCCCCATTAACAGTCGGTTATGTGCTGTTAGATTAGAAAGTTCCATCAAAGTGAGAAGAAATCGGCGTGAGAAACGGTGTCTTTTCGTCATCTCCGCCTATGCCCCGACAGATTGCAGCCCGGATGCAATCAAGGATGAGTTTTACCATCAGTTAACAGTTCTTCTCCAGAAAGCGCGTTCGACAGATATTGTAGTACTAGCCGGAGACTTGAATGCACAGGTCGGGCGTCTAGGCACAGAAGAGAGTCGTCTAGGTGGCCGATGGGGACTTGTTGGTCGCAGGACAGATAACGGGGACCGTTTGCTGCAACTGTGCACAGACCACAACCTGTTTCTGGCCAGCACTAACTTCCGGCACAGTCATCGCCGGTGTGCCACCTGGCGTCCTCCCTCTGCATCCCAAACCTGGACTCAGATTGATCACATCGCGATCAGCTACCGCTGGCGTGGTTGTGTACAAGACTGCCGCTCCTTTTGGAGTACCTATCTGGAGTCTGATCATGCCCTGGTCTGCGCCAATCTCACCTTACTTTTCAGTGGCCGAAGGATTGACCACCACCAACGGATTGATATTAGTAAACTGGCTGCAACTTCTGTTGCAAGTAAGTATCGAGCGGAGCTAGCCTCTAGGCTAGCTACCACCCCACCGAAAAGTATAGGTAAGCATTGGTTGCATCTTCATGACGCCATGAAAATGGCGAGTAAAGCCGCTTGCGGCTTCGCGAAACGTCCCGCTTACAACCACTGGGTTTCTTCTGGCTCCTTACAACTGATGGAAGCCCGTCGGTCTACTCCGGGTGACCGTGAGTTTGACCACAAACGAAGGCTGTTACGTAATGAAATCGGGCAAAGCTTGTGTAAGGACCGGGAAGCCTGGTGGTCGGAGCGTGCTAATGAGATGGAAGCAGCAGCTGCATCTGGTAACTGCCGGAAGCTCTTCCAACTCATCCGAGCCACTGGCAGCAAGAAGTCTGGTGTGAGTGAAACAATCTACGAGGATGACGGGATGCCAATCACTAACATCTGTCGACGTCTTGGACGATGGGCGGAATTTTTCGAAGGGCAGTTCAACTGGCCTGCTGCTCCGGCAACATCAACCAGCTTGTCCTGCCCCCCATGGCCGGTGACGACTGATCCACCAAACGAGGCGGAAGTCCGCAAGGAACTCCAACTCTTGAAACGTTATAAATCACCTGGCCCAGATGACTTACCTCCGGCTCTTTTTAAAGATGGTGGTGACTTTCTGGCTAAGGAACTGACTGCGTTGTTTGGAAAGGTTTGGGAGCAAGAAAGTGTCCCAACATTTTGGAATGAGTCAATAGTCGTCCCTATCTTTAAAAAGGGTTCACGTTGTTCCTGTAGCAACTATCGGGGGATAAGTCTACTTTCGATCGCGTCCAAACTATTGGCTTCTATCGTTCTTCGTAGGTTGTTTAAAACCCGAGAACGATTGACTCGCGAGGAGCAGGCTGGTTTTCGTTCTGGTCGAGGATGCATTGATCACATCTTCACCCTCCGCCAAATGTTAGAACACCGTCATACTTATCGCAGGCCAACAATCGTAGTGTTTCTTGATATCAGGGCGGCCTTCGATTCGTTGGACAGGACTGTTCTCTGGGATTGTCTATTGAAGAATGGTGTGCCTGAGAAGTTCATTAACATCTTAAAAGCCCTGTATACGAACACCTCAGGCAGAGTGAGGGCATACAACCACCTTTCTCCCTTGTTCCATTCGAGCAGTGGGGTTAGGCAGGGTTGCCCGATCTCCCCATTCCTCTTCAACTTTGCCATCGACGACATCCTAGAAACAGCTCTGATGGATGTAAGTAATGGCGGTGTGGATATGTTGACTGGAGAACGACTTCTCGACCTTGAGTATGCGGATGATATTGTCTTACTGTGCGATAATGCCCAAGGCATGCAATCAGCACTTAATCAGTTGGCAATCAGTGTCCGCAGGTACGGCATGTGCTTTGCACCCTCCAAGTGCAAAGTACTTCTACAAGACTGGCAGGATTCTCATCCTGTACTCACCCTGGATGGTGAGGAGATCGAAGTAGTTGAGAAGTTCGTGTATCTAGGTAGCTATATAAGTGCTGGTGGTGGCGTGAGTGATGAGATTGATGCACGTTTAATGAAAGCCAGAGCGGCTTATGCCAATCTGGGCCATCTTTGGCGCCTTCGTGATGTTAGTCTGGCTGTAAAAGGTCGGATCTACAACGCGTCGGTGAGAGCAGTTTTGCTCTATGCTTGTGAAACCTGGCCTCTCCGAGTTGAGGATGTTAGACGTCTCTCTGTGTTCGATCATCGTTGTCTCCGAAGGATTGCTGACATCCAGTGGCAACACCATGTTAGTAATGCAGAGGTTCGGCATCGTGTGTTCGGGCGCAGAGACGATAATTCAATTGGTGTCACCATCTTGAAACACCGACTTCGGTGGCTCGGACATGTTTTACGAATGTCGTCCCAGAGACTTCCGCGTCGTGCATTATTTGCCGACCCTGGGACTGGTTGGAGAAAGCGGAGAGGAGGTCAGTGTATGACATGGTGTCGTGGCATGAAAGAGAGCTGCAAAGGGCTAGCTTCCGTTGGTCCTTCACGACTCCTTGGTTGGGGTCCGAGAGATGGTGCAACACAGTGGCTAGAGACGTTATCGGATATGGCTCAGAATAGAAGCCAGTGGCGATCCTGCTGCAACCTTCTTTTACTTTCTACATAAATAATGGTTCTAACTTTCCTAACTGAAAGAATCTTCTGGTTGTACATTTCAGCCCGCCTTATCTTTTCATCCTTTATCTACCTACTTTCATTATTTTGTGTGGCGCATATGTACCTGGTGCCCTTTTGTACCAATATATATGTGTTTAAATAAATAAATAAATAAATATATACAACCTATAATTTATATACTACTACCACCACTACATTAATTACTTCTATGAATCCGGTGTTCATCTTGTTGTGCTAACGAGGTATGGCAAATTGGACCGATGCATAAATGTGCCTGGTCCTACGTTGTAGCTGACTGACTGACAGCTAGGTCCTGGGTTCGAATCTCGAGATGCGAAATTGTGGATGCGCACTGCTGAGGAGTCCCGCAATAAGACGAAACGGTCGTCCAGTGCTTCCAGGTTTTCCTTGGTGGTCTAGCTTCAATTGACTCATGATTTCAACTATGAAGGAACAAATATTAGTTTAACTCCTTTCTCAAACGCAGATTCATGAACCGCACTTTGTGTCACACTTAGATTGCGAAGTACAGTAAGACTATAAAGCGTCTGATCCGGTGAAGCGGTGTTCGAACCTGCAGGTTAAAATCACAGTCTTCAAACTAAAAAGCAAGGAAATTTCGTTCTTAACGGATGAGAGCTTTACGTTTCAGTTCAAGTCAGAATATCATGTAAATATCAACACAAACTCTACATCCTCGAATATATACAGACACGATTAATGACACATTCAAATAGTATCGATGAAAAACGGAAAGTGACTAACAAAATATTCATTCTCGCACACAGTAAGGCAAAAATAGAAAATATCCAGAGTAGTGAAAAAATTATGAGACAATTACCTGCAGGGATGGATACATTGACTCGTTTACGTCCGACAATCCTACCTTTACCTTCGCATTCTCGACAAGGATTTCGAATAATGGTGCCGGTGCCATGGCATCGCCTACAAACACTCCGAAGCAAAAACGGTCCAGTATTCATGTTCTCAGTTCCTGTTCCACGACAACTTGGACAAGTGGACTTATCTGTCCCAGGTTCAGCACGTGAGCCTTGACAGTGTGGGCAATTAGTCACCATATTGACACTGATCTCCTTATTTACACCACGAGCAGCCTGTGAATTTGAATATTTGGATAATATTTAGTTGAGTTTATAGTAAGGGATCCTAAGTGATTAACGAATGTCTACAACGTTAGACGACCTGGAATATTTGAAGTAAATAATCAAGTCGTTATGACCCATTTGAAGACTGTAATAAGTATGCAGTGCCATGAACTGTTAAAAAATCGTCCGGATTAGAAATATTGGAAGAAATAAACGCGGGACGAAAGTGACGCAGATAATGATCAGAAGTAGACAATATTATGAATGTTAGCTCAAGACCCGACCGTAAAGGTCAACGAATGTATCCCCAATGATACTGAATTATTTAGTCATATAACAATAACCTGACTTGAAGTCAATAAAAGTCAGCAATTTCGCACACACTATTGTGCACCGCTCAAATTAAGCTTTTACTTGTCCTTGCTCCCCAACTTACTCCTAAGTATCTAGTGAAACAATAGCTTAATGGTTAAAGCACTCACAAACGGTGAATAGCTGGTTTGAATATAAATTCACATACTTTGGCTAAACAGTAAAATATTGAGATCAGTTTGTAGTTTGGTCAAAATTTGAGAGCATAAACATGTGCTCGGAAAAAGACTCGTCGATAAATGCTGATTGGGATAAAGGTTGATGCAAGTGTAAGTTAATAACTATACATGTTGCAGCTACTATTCGTGGAGATATGGATAATGTAAACCCAAAGAGACTATACTTCGTAAACTGACCATAGAATATATTAGGTTTCGGTGAAAAACTACTCCCTACATAGAGTTAAATAGCAATTTGTCATCGAAGTTGATGTCATTTCCTTATAAAATTCCTTACTTTAATACATAATTCTGAATCCTATTTCCAGATTTTCATATAAATCAATAATCTCTTTTGATCTCAGTAAGCGAACTTTCTCAAGGTCACTCAGGCATCGTCCAGGCGTCAACCATAAATTAGTCTCACAGTTTACCAACTAAAAAGTCTCCCACATCTGCAAGTGCCGGAGCCAACCCATTGAGTTACAACGTATGCTTAAGACTCAATTTGCTTTAGGAAATTCAGTCATGTAATTTGTTTAATTGGTGCTTGAAAGTCTAACACGAACATGAGTTTCCGGTAATTTGCTATATAGCCAATGTCGATACATACCTGTTCAAAAGTAAGATTAATGGGAATCTCCTTAGTTGCATCAGACCCAAATATTGATTCTGCGAAGCCCTTATCACCAGAAGACCATTCATTGAAGACGAATTCACTATCACGAAATATACGCCGGAACAATTCCTCAGGGTTTATGTTGGAGTGAAACTCAAAACCTTGTGACTGACCACCTCCAAAGTTGTTTTGCGTTGATGCTGACCCAAACTTGTCATACTGGCTTCGCTTATTTTCATCTCCTAGAACCTAACACTGAGTCAGAATGAAGTTCGCGAAGCCTACTTCATATGCTTCACTAACTTCCTGAAACTTCTGTGCCGCCGACTTGTCGTTCTTATTAACATCTGGATGATACTTTTTGGCTAGCTGGAAACAATATGGAAGCACTTAGATACTAACCTGGTAATAAGCTTTTTTAATTTCAGACTGACTAGCTGACTTGCTGACTCCTAATATACTGTAGTAGTCTTTCAGTAATGATACTGAAGTGTAAAAATTCCTAAAATTAAACTTTGAGGCACCGGCTTAACAGTACAGTAAAAGAATTAAGATGCTTACCCAACTTGTGCATAAGCGAGATACCCTTAAACGCCATGCCGTAGCGCATGCGTCAAGTGTCGCGGCCTTAATTAGTTGTGTTGGAGTTTTCTTAAAAAGCTAAACGAGAAACCAAAGTTTATTCTATCGATCTCTTGGTTACTCTATTCTTATTCTTAACTCACAAACTAAGTTTGATACTTGGTAGCAGCAGTAATTTTCATACCTGTTATCAATGAACGGGAAGTCTAGTCCTAACTTGATTTGCATTTCTCAAACTTCTTCTGTGTTCTTACGCAACAAAAGTACCATTTCCGATATAAATAATCTATTTTGAGCTATACGTTCGGTAGATTACTTTTTTGAGTTTCACTCAACTTAATAGTTAACAGTGATTTTGCCTCATCTCACTATCGGTTTTTTTAGTTTTCACGTAAAGGCTAGTTTTTAGCTTATCGTAAACTGTTTTTATCCATTTTTGCCCGTATTGTGTACTGTGTTTCTTCTAACGGTCCTGGACTTACTGCTTGTATTTATAAGACAGTCTATATCATTAGCTATGAGAAATTCATGCAAAAGACCTGGTTGCCGTTATGTTGTTATATGCATGCAATGTGACAACTGTAAAGGTTGGTTCCACGAAGAGTACACAGATCTAACAGCAACAGCCTATAGCAGACTCAGCAAGTCTGATCATAGGTGGGTATGTGTTACGTGCAACACTGATACCGTAGTTATGCTGGGTACCATCATTGCCTTACTAACAGGTTTGAGGAACAAGTTGTCTAAAAACTTGGTAAATGACAGTATCACGACGGGTAGCAAAACCGGAACGCGAAGTGCAAACAAGAAAAAGGACATCGACAGGTCGACTATCAACGGTGCAGGTAAATGCACGAGTGATGACGTGCTGAACCTCAATACCATCTTAACATCGACGGTGATCGACTACCTCAGTAAACTTCGGTCCCCCAGGGAAGAGTCCTTGAATGAAACAGTGGTTCCCCAAAACCCTGTAGGTGGTTGGACCCGCGTTAATAGGGGCTGAAAGGACCAAGGGTCACCGCCGTAGCCGAAAATCATAAGTACTGTGTGGAAATCAATTGGTGACTTGTCAGCACAGTCTACCCCAAGACTGTCCGCCCGGTCATCACCGAGCCTAGGAATCGAAAACGCGTTTCATAATCATGAACCGTATTGACAACCCTGACCTTCCTCTCAGTATGCAGGACAAAAATGATAAGTACCCTGGGGGGAATTGAACAAGAGGCTTGAACTCCCTAGAATAGAGCCTTTGACGGTCACACGGCTCACTCAAGGGAAGGACTCTAACCACCAAAACCACCGGAGGTTGCTTCGTGTTACACTTAAGAATGCTTCCAACGTAGAGGACGTCTTGCTAGCGAGTCACTCACTGAAATCTGATGGGAACGTAAGAATACTGCCCGACATACCGTATTCTGAACTAAATATCATCCGGAAAATCCCTAACGAATCTCGCGAGGCGTTTTTCCGCGCAAGAAATATCATTGAGCAAGGTGTACCGGAAAATATGGACACAACTCAAGCAAACTCTGATATTCGGGAATGGAAATCCATTAAGCATTCCTTGAAGCTCAAGAACATACTGACCCAACAGGTGACGCGACTAGCCAAGAAAGACGGAGACTCCAGACCCCAGCTATTGGAGATAACCTCCCCCTCCTCCCATATGGCGGCTGCAACTCTGGAAGCATTTCGTGCGAATAGACGACGGTTGCCAACTGGCATCTATATGCATCCGGATAGGCCACACGACAGCAGGATCAAGCACAAACGCAAGCTGGAGCTGGCAATTCCACTTCTGGACTGTCTTGATAATAAAAAAACGTCTAAAGGACATGGATTACCAACTCAGTAAACATTGTGTAGGTAGGCTACCTGTCCGCTCACGCACGGCTCATATAGACACACAGGAAGTAGCTCACGCGTTCCAAATTGAAAGCATAAACTACTTATACATGAACGCCGCGAGTCTGACAAACAAAACGGATGATCTACGTGAACTTAGCAACGCTAATGATGCTAATCTGATAGGAATATCCGAAACTTGGATATCGTCTCAGTTTACGAACCAGGAGTTAACAATACCTGGAATGTCTTTACTTCGCAACGAAAATTGGAATAGGGGGCGGGGTAGTGTTAAACATACGATCATGCCTGGAGGCGCCTCAACCTCACAACCAAGAGTTTCTCAATCTTCATGAATCAATATGGTGCTCAGTAAGATAGTCTGCCACCTCGAGGTGTCTAGTTGGGGTCATCTACTGGAAGCCCACTGCCGACATCGAGTATGACAATCGTTTGCTGGGAAGATTAACCCGCTCTACGCGTCTTGTATTCTCTCAGATCCTGATTCTAGGGGACTTCAAGCTTCCTAGAATCAACTTCGCGGAACATATCTACATTGGAGGTGACAACACTTATGTGTTACTGAACATTCAGTTTCTCAAATGGTCCCAAAAAGCTACAAACAACCTCCAATCATCAAGAACCGCACTCGTCGTTTGTTAAGCCGCAAAAGACACTGTTGGGCCGAATATAAACGAACCGACAATAAAAACGCATACAGGCAATATAAACGCATAAGGAACATGTGTTCAGAGTCAATAAGAGAATACAGGCTTCAATTCCAGACCAAGCTTATAGATAAATACGTCTCCAATCCGAAAAAGCTTATTTCGTTACTCAGCTTCTCTTCGACAAGCCAAAACTGGAGTTTCCCAACTGCTTGGTCCTAATGGCCCAACCAACAACGACGGTGATGACGCTAACCTTTTGGCTGAACAATACTCCCAGACACTCCAGCTAACTCACATCAACTATACTGACGAAAGCTTCACCTGCACCTGTACAGGACTTTCCGAAGTGGACCTAAGTGCTGACCTGGTGCTCCGTAAACTGCAGCATATGAGAAAAGACACTCCTCTCAGTTCGGATATGGTTCACTCTTCTATATTGAGGGGAGCAGCTTCAATCCTAGCATCACCACTTAGCGTGATGTTTTCACACTCGCCGAGCCGGGGCAAACTGCCGAAAATTTGCAAGCTGGGTCACATCGCACCAATTTTCAAAGGAGGTCGACGCAGTGAACCCTTAAGCTACCGACAAGTGGCCATTCTCTCCACGCCTTCTAAAATTATGGAGAATCTAATGTACGACGTTATACAAGAATATTTAATATCCTTAAAGTTCTTCTCACCTCAACAGAGAAGGTCATTCTTGTACAGCCAACCTGCTGACTGTGGTGGATAGATGGTCAACCACCCTTGATAGCAAGGGGAAGGTTTTGATTTCTCAAAAACTTTTGATAGGGTCAACCACATGTGTCTTATCAATAAGCTTAGACGATTGATTATCGAAGCCCCTCTGGCTGACTGGCTCACTTCATACCTAGAAAACCGACATTTTAAGCTCAGGGTTAACTTCACTCTCTCTCAGACTATGGAATGTACTAGTGGGGTCCCCCAGAGCTCAACACTAGGACTTCTCTTCTTGATTTACATTAACGATCTTCCAAAACAAGTTTCATGTGACTTACTGCTTTTTGCTGATGATGTGAAACTTTGGAGAGAGATACGCAACCAAGAGGATATACTGCCACTTTAGGAGGATCTGACTTGACTTCAAAGTTGGGCAGACGACAACGAACTTACCTTCAACACTCTAAAGCGCACAGTAGTCCATCTGCGACATGTTGCGGACTATAGTTACAACTTGTGAAACTCCTCTCTAGAAGTATCCAAGTTGAAAAAGATTTAGGGGTGTTGGTACCCTGCGACCTGAAGTCGTACGCTAACTGTGATAAAAACGCCCTTCAATCAAACTTTACACTGGTAACACTGAAGCTCATTTTTGGCCAGCTTGACGGTAGAACTTTCCACATAATCTTCAACAGTATTATTTGGCCCTTATTTAGAGTACGGAAACATAGTATTTCCTCACTCCCTCCAAAAGGATAAAGACACTCTAGAACGTATCCAACGTCGAGCCACGAAATCAGTTCGAGGACTCAAATTCAAACCTTATGAATCACTTAACCTTTACCCGTTAGAGTAAAACAGTCTTAGAGGTGACCTTCTTATAACTTACAGTATTTTTAATACTTCTGGTCATCCCCTGAAACATCTTCTTAAGCTTAGTCACAACACTTACCTAAGAGGTAACACCCAGAAACTGGAGATCCAACATAGCACAACAGACTGCAGACACAACTTCTACTCCGTAAGAGTTGTCAAATGCTGGAATCCGCTGCCGACTGAGCTAGTTCAAGCGACTTCCCAGAAGTCCTTTAAGAGGAAACTTGACTTATCCTTAAAGACTAAGAATAACATATTATTTTGATTCATCAAATTATTTTTTCTCTATTATCGTTAATATACCTAGGTTCTTGCCTGGAGGTATTGGTGATCCACTGCTACTAGACACGAAAGCCCGTTAAGCGAAAGCTTCTTTTATAGCTGCTCTAATGACCGTTTAATAAAAATGACGTTATTACGGAAATATGTCAGTAAGAGTAGGTACAAAAAGGGTGTAACCACCGCTGCATGGACCAGTCCATGTCGCACAATTAACTAGTTTGCGTCGTTGCCCTTCACCCTGACGAGGATCGGCGAACTTCTAGAAATTCAGTTATCCGACTGCCGCATGGTTTGGCTGCGGCCCAGTAACATTTCACTGGCCATACAGGTATGATCTGTGTTTTAATTTTTGTTAAGCTGGGTGAAAAAAACTAAGTTAAAATCGGTTGAGTAGTCAGGGAGTAATAACTATAGTGACTCCTTAACTACTTTTACTACTACCAGCTATTTTCATTGTTCCTGTCTGTCTATTATATTTTTTCATTCCTACACAAAAGCAACGGCAATCCGTTGTTAACAAACAAGAATCCTCTTTAAGTGCTGTAACTTTCTGTTATATTTATAATCATCTGAACTTTACTTCTCAATCTCCTTATAGACTTAAGTTACTTTAGAACAAACAAATAATGTTAGAATTGGAAACATTTTATGTGATGCATCTACATATAAATGAAGAACATGTTAACTACTCTTCTTTCTCTTTTCCATTTAAAACCGTTAACTTCTGAGGGCGTCTATAGATCTTGAAGTTTAAGCTGACAGAATATTTTGCTGTCAACCTCTGAAAATATTCGAAACTATTTTCAGTGTTTGACTAAGAATTAATCTGAAAAACTCATATATCGAGTCCACTTACTTAAGGAACTATTCTACTCCCCTGGAACACTTTCATAAATAAGATACATGGAGTAAAAGACAAACCCTAACCAGTTCTTCCGGAAACTGTAGACTTGCAATGTGTGCAAAGCAAAAGGATGGGAAGAACATCATCATTATGGGACATATTATCTTAGTAGATCGACACTTCGTTTCAGCACAAAATTACACGTAATATAGAGACCACTGAGGCTAGAGGTTGAACGAGCCAGCCCGAAAAACCAAGCCAAACTTTTAATGGTCAGCATCTATAGAATATGAAGCTCTTTATTTAAGTCAAAAGTCATTGCACCTTCAATAGGGCCTTCCTAAAGAAGACTGAACATTTATATAATTTTTGCGACTACTGGGGGTGATTGCTCTTAAAATTACTTTGCTATCACTTCAATTATTAATAACCGATTGATCTTGCCACTTAGTTACAGAAGAGACACAAGAAGCAAAGTAGATTTTCATTATCAAAAAGCTCCTCAACCACCCAGAAGTAGACTTTAAAGAACGATCATTCAAATATATCTATTTGGCAGGGTTAAAGTTTGGCGTCCTATCAACAACAGGCGCCAGAATTTTAAACGGTTAGATGTGCCAGCTTTGCAGGACGATATACAGCAGGTGGACTAAGAAGTTCCTCCTTGACTTGATGTGGATGTTAATTGGGACTTCTCACTGCACATGATCATGTGTGCTACAAAACAGTCTGTTCTGTAAACCGTCACTAAAAACTATAAGCAACTTGCAGTCATCCAGGATCGTAATCTGCTCTTGCTAAGTCGCGAAAGACACTACTGAACGGAATACAAACCAATTGTTAGCAATAACGTATAAAGGCGATTCAAGCAAGCAAGGAACCAAATCACGAAGACAATAAGGGAAGACAGGCTTCGGTATCTGACAAAGCTAGTCGATAAATGTTTCCTCAAATTTTGAAAGCTTATACCTCCATGCAGCCACTCTTGGTCACTCCGAAACTGGAGTTCGTCAACTGTTAGGTCCTAAAGGTCCAATAAACAACAAAGGTGACAGCGACAATCTTCAGGCAGAACAGTTCTTTCGGACCTTTTAACCATCGCATACCAACTATATCTACGGGAGCTACACCTTTAACTCAACAGGACTCAAAATTGAACCAAAACGCTGCTTGGTGTATCAGAGTCTGCAGCACCTAAACAAGGACGCTTCTCAGGATCCACGTGTGGTCCATCCCACTATACTGAGGGAAGCGGTTCCAATTTTGGCAAAACTGTTTAGTTTGTTCTCACGTCCACTAGACCGAGGAATGGCACCAGAAAACTAGAAGCTGATCATCACCAATTTTTAGAAGAGGTCGACACAGAGAACCTTCAAGCTACCGACTGGTAGAACTCCTCTCAATATACCAACAAATTATGGAGTTGCTGATCTGCAACGGTCGACGTAACTACGTAATATCCACGAAGTTCTTCTCACCCCAACAGCACGGTGTTAGGAAGGGTTATTGCTGTATAAACAACTGGTTGACAGCAATGAAGAGATGGACAACCATCCTTAATTGTAGAAGGAAGGTTGACGTCATATACTTTGACTTCTTAAAAGTATTTGATAGGGTCAACCATATGTGTTCTATGGATGAGCTCAAACGATTAGGTATCATATCACGTTTAGGTGATTAGCTTACTTCATATATAACCAATCGACACTGTAAGGTCAGGGTAAACTTCACTTTTTCTCAGGATGCTGGATATCCTAGTGGGTTACCATGGGGTTCGGTACTAGGACCTCTTCTTTTCTTGATTTATGTAAGAGATTTTTCACGGCAGGTATTTTCAGAATTATTACTTTTCGCTGATTATGTGAAACTCTGGAGAGATGTTTTCAACCAAGACAATAAGCTAGTATTTTGGGAGGATCTGACTCGACCTCAAAGTTGGACAGACAATAACGGACTTATCTTTAACAAACCGAAGAGTAAATTAGCCCACATGAGACATGTTACAGACTAAAAATACAACTTACGAAACTTCCCAGGAGAAGTATCTCAAGTTTAAAAAGATCTAGGGGTGTTGGTTTCCTATTATCTGAAGTCGTATGCTGTCTGCATTTAAAATGCCTTTTTAGCAAACTTTCGCACTGGTAATGTCAAAGTGTATTTTTGACTAGTTCGGTGAAAGAGCTTTCCATCATATCTTCAACAGTTTTATTCCTGCTCATTTAGGGTACGGAAACATAGTATTTCTCTCTCACTCCAAAAGGATAAAGATACTCTGAAAAACATCCAACGGCGAGACACGAAATCAGTCCGGGGATTCAAATTCTAGTCTTATAAAGAGCGTCTCCAATCACTAAATCTTTACTTGTTAGAGTTCAGATGTCCTGGAGTTGACCTCTTAATCACTTATAACATCCTAAACAGTTCTGAGCATTTACTTAAATACCTAATTTAGCTGAGTCTCAACACAAACCTTGAGAATAATACCCGCAAAAATGAGACACAACACAGCAGAACGGACTGTAGGTAAACCTTCTGCTCTCTGGAGTTATTCAAATGTTGGAATTAGCTACCGACTGAACTAGACCGATAGACTTTTTACGAGTCCTTTAATAGAACACTTGACATATTCTTTTTTACTGAGGACAGTATCTCATCATAATTTACTGACTCTTTTTTTCTATTTATCGTCAAATATACTAAGGTTCTCACCTGGAGACATTGGTTATCCACCGCTACTAAATACGGAAGCTCGTTAAGCGAAAGCTTCTATTCTGTCCATAATTATTTGAACCATTTGAAATTTTTGAAGGTCGGTGTGTTGGCGGGCTTTCCGGATGGCAGTCACATCGCGTGATAATGAGTAGTGTACAGCTGAAGAGCGTGGACAAGGTACTTGAAGTGTCATCCACTCCAATACACTCTAGAGGTTGTAATTCTGGCTATGAGGAACAAACTAAGGCAAGTTGGTGGTATTTTCATCAAGAGTTTTTGCTTAGGATTCGCGTCTCATATTATCTTCAGCGAAGAAAAGATTGTCCAGTAAATCAAACTCAGAAACCGGAAGCTTCGACTCAGGTATTTTTGAAAAATCAGTTTTTTACCGATCAGCTGTTTAATGCATCACCGATCTTTAATTCTCTTGTACATAAACGGTTACTTATGGTCCTTTAAGTTTTAGGGACGTTATTTGCTTGCTATATAAGATATACTGGAAAGGAATTGAGCATTCAATATGTTTAAAAATATCACTTTTACTATATATTGGCAGAAGTCAGTCGCAACGTAAACTGACAGAAATAATTTTTCATCACCATTTTAGATTTTCTGAGCACTACAGAAAAATATTTTTACTGGTTGTTATACGTGCAAACGTAATAGTCGCGTTCTTAGTTCTGATTGTTTTGCCCTTATACTGTACTTTTTCCCAATTTTCACAATTTATAGAACGAGAACTTAGTCGATAACGACAGCAAAACTAAGTTAAGCGTGTTATGATTGGTTCAAATGGTTCGAATGGTTGGGGACGGAATAAAAGAAGCTTTCGCTTAACGGGCTTTCGTGTCTAGTAGCAGTGGATCACCAATACCTCCAGGCAAGAACCTAGGTATATTAACGATAATAGAGAAAAAATAATTTGATGAATCAAAATAATATGTTATTCTTAGTCTTTAAGGATAAGTCAAGTTTCCTCTTAAAGGACTTCTGGGAAGTCGCTTGAACTAGCTCAGTCGGCAGCGAATTCCAGCATTTGACAACTCTTACGAAGTAGAAGTTGTGTCTGCAGTCTGTTGTGCTATGTTGGGTCTCCAGTTTCTGGGTGTTACCTCTTAGGTAAGTGTTGTGACTAAGCTTAAGATGTTTAAACTGATAACCGTCTGTTATGATTGCATCACCAGTTGTTATATCTGGTCGTGGCTAATTGTTATATTGGAATCGCTTATGACTTCACTTGTAAAACAAGGATCCATTGCAATTGCCATGACGCTAACGTAAGAACACTAAGACTAATACAGGTGAAGATTTGTTAACAGCAAAACATGCCAATGGCCCTGGTCGAAAACACACTCATGTGTATGTTAATTGTACACCTGTCTTGATTAATAATTAGGATGCAACACATATATGAAAAATACTCAGTTATAACAAACCACATGTTACATGTCATACGTAGCATATTTCAGGCGAAAATAATGAAAGGACGTCATAAAGCTATTGGCTCATAAGACGTTTATAATCAGAATAAACATGAAAGACAATTACATCTTTTCATCGTGTAAGCTTATGAGTCCTGCTTTGTTTAGTGGTTGTCATCTTTTAAACCGGAACCCGCTGGTCAAAGTACTTTGTGGCTATTTGACTATGTTTATTCTAATCGTCTTTTAGTGCTTAGTCACGTTTTTCATACAAAAATAAGCTACTATGTATAATCATCAGTACTATCAATTTCCGACTCTCCTATTGGATGCTTGTAAACAATCCCTGATCGATCAATGCTTTTTTTATTTTTTCATCTCCAAACCACTAAAATTTCCTACACTTAAAACTCATCGAACCACGTAATCAGCATTAGCAATATAACCACGTGACAAGTTTTTATTTGTGGAGATGCATTATTTGGACTTTGTGACTTTCAGTTTACTACATGCTGAAAACACTGTCCTTGTTTCTCATGTTTGGTTTTGTTGACATACACTTCATTTATCCCTAATAAATCAATTTCATCCATTTTCCCCACCTGTTATATTTATTTGTTTATTTAGTATACAACCTTTTCCTTCTACATCTTCATAATGTTACTAGTTCATTTTGTGTGGGGAATTTTTTCGATCCCCTGTTGTATCGGAATTCTCATGTATAGTATGTAGATCAAAATAAAAATCATCTGCTGTACGGATTTTTAAGCGCGGAAATAATACAACCCTTTAGGTAAATTCCATTTTTATTTAGTTGACAAGTAGCTAACCATAATTGAAATCGTATCTGCTTTCACACTGTCCACTGCTTAAAGGCTCCGTGATGTCATGAGAAGTGAAAAGACTCATTTTTGCACACGTCATTAAACTGGCACGTTTTTAGTTCCCCATAGGTCTATTTGTAGCAACCAAGGGTTGTTTAGTAAATGTTTTCGACAAAAAAGTTTTGGTTAATAAGTTATCGATAGTAATGAACCTGACACGACTATTTTGGTTCAAGTTGCTGCACTACGCAGTACACTGAAGGGGGAAATGAACAATGTGAGAGGTTAAGAAAGTGAAAGCTATCAGTCATTGCGATAAGCCTAATATCAGAAATAATGTTCAAAAGTAACGAAAACTAAGAATGAGAAATATGAAGTGAGATCAAGCTTATATTTTAGAAAGAGTTAGGAAATAATTTCATCTTTGCTGCTGTAACCGACGTTAGTCATGTCACAACATTAGCGGCTTTGGATTACGATTAACTAGGTAGTTTGCATCTACCGACTATGCCCAAAATTTCAGTAAGTTGCGAGGAATTTTAATCCACTTACCACGTAAATGTTATACTGAAATAAGTTAAAGGTTAGCTGTGAATTTTCATAAGAAGCGGTTTCACTTAAACGATACCGTCGAAACGGTAGGTAAACTCGATTGTAGTTTCGCGTAACATTTCGCTCTGGAAACTAAGTTTTGAAGTACTCATAACTTTTTTATTTCTGGCGGTTTAACCTGTTGGATTGTGTACATTATCACTTAGTCAGCCAGTCAGCTACAACGTAGGACCAGGCGAACTTATGCATCGGTCCAAGTTGCCATACCTCGTTAGCACAACAAGATCAACACCGGATTGATAGTAGTTAATCTTGTGGTGGTGGTAGTTTATAAATTATAGCCAAACGAGCTTTTTGAATCGGTGGAGAGATTTCGTCACACACCAACCCATTAGGGCTGGTCAGACTTCCAAGATAAGTGAAGTTGTCGACGCGTTCGACTACTTCACTCCCTATCCTTAGTTCGGGTGTTGACGCAGGCCAGTCCTGGACTAACACTTAACATTAAGATGGGGGGGAGAAACGCATCCCAAACATCCTAGCATTATTACTGAGTTCCAACAAAAGACTCTGCATCTTGTCAGCGTCTTCATCAAACAGGACTATGTCATCTGCGTATTCTAAGTCGCTAAGTGGACCCCCTGGTAGAAGATCGATTCCTGAAAATTCAATCAACGAGAGCGTTATTTCGAGCAGTAGGTTTATAATGAAGATAAACAGAAATGGGGATAGTTGACAGCCTTGTCGGACACAACTTGAGATTGTAAAATCAGATGACAGATCGCCATAAGCTCTCACTCAACCGGTAGTGTTTGAGTAAAGAGCCTTCACAAGGTTTATGTACTTCTGAGGTACACCTTTCAATGAAAGTCACTGCCACAGAACCTCTCGGTCTACAGAGTTAAATGCTGTTTTTAAGTCAAGGAAAACTATCATTGTCGGACGCCGATAAGCGTGTCTGTGCTCTAAGACTTGACGAATTGTGAATATGTGGTCGATATAGCCACGACCAGGTCTGAAGCCAGCCAGATTTTCTCGTGTTTGCAGTTCACGAGTCTTAGTTAGGCGCCTGATAATTATTGAGGCTAGTATTTTAGATGCTATGTTAATCAGACTAATCCCGCTATGGTTATCGCAGGATGATTTTGACCCCTTTTTATATATTGGGACAATCAGTGATTGTGACCAGTCGGATGGGATTACGTTCGTCTCCCAGATTTTAGCCAGAATGTTAGTCAACGTAATCGCTAAAATTGGACCATCATATTTAAAGACCTTTGGAGCCAATCCATCAGGACCAGCTGCTCTTCCTCGTTTCAGATTAGTTATAGCCTTTTGAACTTCAAGTAGGGTCGGGGGGCCTACTTCAATGTTCCATTCAGGTTTTCTAGGAATAGTGGGTAGTTGTGCAGTAGCTGAAGGCCAGCTAAACTGCTCCTTAAAGTGTTCCGCCCATCGTTCTAAACGTTTGGGTTGAGAGCAGATAAAGGTTCCGTCTTTTTCCGAGATTGTCTCACTTACACTTGACTTCTTAATTCCGGTTTCTTTTATTAGTCTGAATAGTTGCCTGGTGTTCCCTACAGCCGCTGCCTTTTCCATCTCTTTTGCTTTCGTTGCCCACCACTGCTCACGATCATTCTTTAGACTTTTAGTTAACCTATATCTAATTTCTTTACGCTCTTCGTCATGTTCAGAGCCTGATGGGATGAGTTTACGCGAATCCACCAGTGAAATAGACTTAGAAGAAATCCACTGGTTTTTTGGAGCCCTATGGTTTAAATAACTAATAGATGTGACTGCTGTTTCCACAGCTGTTCGCATGTCTTTCCAAGCAGCATCTGGGTCAGTCTTGTTTACAGAACTGCCTAGATGTGAACTTAGTTGTTTCTGGAATTCGCATTTGGCTTTCTCGTCTTCCAGTTCAATCCTAATGGGTCTTCTTAGTGTGCTTTTCCTTCGTCCATTGAGGCGCAGGCAAATGCGCGCTCGTATTAAAGCGTGATCAGAGGTCGGTCACACACGACCTTTTTGTGGGTAGTTTTTGTGTTAACTCCGTTCTTCAAAAAAACCTTACCGACAGAGATTGATATCCGCGGGATAAGGCGAGGTGTGCATTTTTAGGGTCGACCTTTACTAACCCCACCCCTCCTTGTGGGAAGGCAGCATCGCTGTCATGCTGGTTGTCTGAAGGGAACACCTTACTGCTGTCACACCTCTGTACAGTCAGCAGTACGACTTCGCATTCGGACCTTGGGTTTGCTGCTTTTAGTCTCACCGCTCTTCAAACGACCTGCCTGGCATTGTAGGACCTTGAGGAGCGATTGTTCCAGCCAGTATAGCTCGGTTGATTCATCACAATAGGCAAGTCCACCTCGTCAATGTAGCAGCAACGGTCGGGAACTTAGTCATAGAATTTCATGAACCGTACATATGGACTATAAAACCCAGTAATCAGAATTTACTTTTGATTTGAAAGTAGTAAGGTAATTATAGCTGTTCGAGCTCCTCTAAACCACTAGTAGCTAGAAACCTGAGTTGTGTAACGTAAATTTTGAGATTGATCACT